AAAGATCTGAAAACGGCCGCGGGATTCCAGAAAAATCAACTTCGACGAAGCTGCTTCGACGCGAGAAGGAGGAAATGATGGGGGAAAATCTCCACCCCACAACCAGTCCTCGCCAGGGAAAATCGCCGAGGAAAAATACGACTCCGCGAAAAAAGACTCTGCCGAGACAGGGAAACTCCTTGAAGACCCAAGAAATTATAAGAATTCGTTAAAGTTATCTTATAAAGATGCTTTAATGAAAACTTATGAATTTCGCGGGCTAGAGCCTTGGAGAAATTTCGGGAGGGACTCCAAAAGAAGCAGACAGCTGTGGAGATTATACCGGTACCGGAAAACTTGGGGACCAAATTAAGGAGTGTGGAAAGAAGCCGACCTTTCCACGGAGTCAACGTCCTCTCCCGACACCAGCCCACAACGACTACCCATTCCCCAGGGAAGACGTCGGTGGAGCTGAAGCAGCTCAAGAGGAAGCTGGGGGTCTACAAAAAGCTGCACAAACCCCGAACACCTCCTCCGGATGCATCCAGTTCTTCGGCATCAGTGACGCGCACAGTCATCAAAGAAACTCCGGGCCCTGGAGAAGAGCCGTTCTCCAAGCAGCCTCGGCCAGCTGCCAGCTCAGGAGTAGACAGCAACACAAAGGTGTGTACGGAATATTGGGATGTACCCTATGACCCAATCAATGAAACTATCTTTGGGTACTCCGAGCAACGACTGCCCCTCGTGCTCGAGGTCATCTGCAAAGGACGACGCCTCCAAGCACTCGTGGACAGCGGAGCATCACACACCGTCTGCAATTAAGCAGTAATCGACCGACTTCGAGAAGAGTACAAGCCATCAGGATTCTCTGCAACGATGGTGGACGGCAGCAAGTTACCAGTATATGGCGAAGCAGTGCTACACCTACAAATCGGGCCACTGCGCTGGAGACCTGCTCTGCCCATCACCAACATAAAAGGGCTTGACCTGATCTTCGGGCGAGACTTCCTGAAAATATTCAACCCCGAGATCAACTGGGTGAACCGCACCGCAAACATTTACAACAATGGACGGAGAGTACAGCTACCCAACTAGGACGATACAGGAGATATCCCAGTGGAGACACTCGCCAGATTCGAGAAGGACGTGAAGCGAACTGACACCGGGTTCCTGGCGATAGCAACAGAGGTGGAGAACGATGGAGAGAAAGCCTCGGAACCTCCAGAAAAAATCAAAGACTTACTGAAGGAGTTCCAAGACATTCTTCCTGACGATCTTACGAACGAGCTACCGCCATACCGAACACATCAACACGAGATTGTGGAGGAACCGGGTTCGAAGCCGACCTTCCGAGCACCATACCGGCTCAGCCCTACAGAGCTGACCGACATGAAAAAACAGATCGAGTATCTCCTAGCCAAAGGACTCATCCGGCCATCCACTTCGACATACGGTGCCCCAGTACTCTTCACACCGAAACCGGACGGAAGCCTGCGCATGTGCATCGACTACCGAGCTCTTAACAAGCAGACCATCAAGAATAAATATCCGATACCGCGAATCGATGACCTGCTTGACCAGCTTCGGGGAGCTACGGTATTTTCCAAACTGGATCTGCGGTCCGGATACTGGCAGATACGGATGGCGGACAACTCTATCCACAAAACTGCTTTTCGAACTCGGTACGGATCATACGACTATTTGGTAATGCCGTTCGGACTCACCAACACACCGGCAATGTTTCAAGCCGAAATGAACCACATTCTACGACCACTTTTGGACGAGTGCGTGGTGGTGTACCTGGACGACATCCTCATCTACTCGCGCGACATGAAGCAGCACGTCGAGCACCTACGACGCGTCTTCGAAATTCTTCGACCAGAACGGTTCTACGTCAAACTGTCCAAGAGCGAATTCGCCCTTGAGAAGGTCCAGTTCCTAGGACACATGGTGAGCGCTCAAGGAGTTCACGTCGACCCCAAGAAAATCGAAGCCGTACGTACGTGGAAGACACCCGAGAACGTGAAGGAGTTGCAGCAGTTCCTAGGCTTCGCTAATTATTACAACAGGTTCGTGCCACAGTATGCGAAACTTGCAGCACCCCTCACGAATCTGCTGAAGAAGAACACGCCCTATAAATGGGAACCAAAGCACCAGGAAGCCGTGGAGCAGCTGAAACAAGCGCTCACGTCCGCACCGGTACTCATCTTGCCAGATCCCAAACGCGACTACGTAATCGAAGCTGACGCCAGCGACCAGGCAGTGGGAGCAGTCTTGATGCAAGACCAGGGGAATGGACTGCAACCAATCGCCTACCTGAGCAAGAAACTACATGGAGCAGAACTAAACTACCCGATACACGACAAAGAGGCCCTTGCCATCGTCATCGCCTTCAAAGCATGGAGATGTTATCTCGAAGGACGAAGAACAACCGTCTACACCGACCACTGCAGCCTGAAATACTTGAAGACACAACCCAACCTTTCCAGGCGGCAGGTCCGGTGGATGGACTTCCTCGAGACACACTTCCACTACGACATCGTGTACAAGCCCGGCCACAAAAACAAAGCAGACGCTCTTAGCCGGCCTGCACACGTTGCCGCCATTCAGATTGAAGGGATGAATCCACTACTCAAGGGACTCTTCACACACGGGTACGCCATCGACCCCGAAATCTCCTTGGCGGAAAAGCGACATTTGCTACAGTAGGACAGTGACATCGCATACTGGAAAGGATCAACGAAAATTTGGGTACCCAATTACCCTCCTTTGCGCCAGTTACTACTCGAAGAATACCACGACGTCCTATATGCCGGACACTTCGGTAGCAACAAGACGCTCACCGGTATCGCCAAACACTACTACTGGCCCCACATGGCAGATGACGTACAGAACTTCGTCACCTCGTGTGATACATGTCAGCGGATGAAGAGCAGCAAGCAGAAAAAGGCGGGACTACTGCAGCCTCTTCCTGTCCCGGAACAGCCATGGCACGTGGTTAGCCTGGACTTCATCACCGGGTTACCACCTACCACCTGCGGTCATGACGCAATCCTTGTCGTCATCGACAAGTTCTCCAAAATGGGACACTTCATCCCGACACACACGACGGCGCGCACCGAGGAGACAGCACAACTCTTCGTTCGTCACATCATCTCACAGCATGGCATTCCAACCACACTCATCTCTGACCGAGACCCCAAGTTCACCAGCAAGTTCTGGAAGGAACTTATGTCTCTTCTCGGAACCAAACTTGCCATGTCATCCACTTACCATCCGCAGACAGACGGACAGACCGAGAGCCTCAACCAAATTGTTGAGCAACTCCTCCGAGCAGCCTGCAAGGACGAGATCTCCAAATGGGACCTGCACCTGCCCGTTCTGGAGTTTGCTTACAACAACGCCACACATGCCGCTACTGGATAGACGCCGTTCTTCCTCTGCTACGGACGCCACCCCCTTACACCACAGAAACCGACCATATCCGCTACAGTACAACCTGCACATGATTTCATCACAACCATGCATCAGCTTTGGGATCGGACCCACAGGCGCCTCCTCGACATTCAGCAGCAACAAAAGCGCCAGGCCGATCGCCATCGCAACGACCACACCATCACGGTGGGAGACCAGGTGCTTCTTGACACACGCAACCTGGACATCAGCCACCTCCCATCTAAACTGCGACCTCGCTTCTGCGGGCCTTTTCTTGTTGAAGCACAGGTTACTCCTGTTACCTTCCGCTTGCATCTGCCAGCCACCTGGAAGATTCACAATGCCTTCCATGTCCAACTTCTGAAGCCCTATCGGGATCCGAACACGATCTTCGTCGGACGCCAACCGCCGCCGCCACCACCCGTCCTCGTCCAAACTGAACCCGAGTACGAGGTCGAGTCCGTGCTTGCACACCGCCGACGTCGGAATGGCGCCGTCGAGCTTCTCATCCGTTGGAAGGGTTATGATCCTTTTGAGGACAGCTGGGTCCCTGAGTCCGACATGGGTAACGCCCGTCGTCCTCTGCATGACTACCTTGTCAAGCAGGGTGTTACTTCTACCATCCAGCTTTGAGGGGGGGAAGTGTGAGAGTACGACCCCGTTACACCACTTGTCCCTTTTCTTATTTCCTTCCTCTTTCATTTCTCTTTTTATCTCATCTCATTTGGTTTCCTATTCTCCATTTTCCATTAACCTTTGGTTTATCCTGCTATTATAATTATATCACCGACCAGGCTTGGGATGTACTGGTGCGCTATATCTAGCGTAATCCTGCCGTAATCCCTTAAAGCCAATAGCCTCGCGTGGCTATACGCAGGGTGATTCTATCTTCTAGAAGGGTCTATTCCCTTAGATAAGATAAACCTGGTTACCTGATGTACTTTGGAAGTATAAAAGCGCCTTGTACTGATCGATAGTGCAACCTTTCCTCGACGCATTCGATCCTGTGACAAGATGTCCGTGGTGAGGAACACCTTCCCCGCCGCCCCATCACCAACGATCTCCTGCAGCTGGCGCTTGCGCATGGCGTCGCTCTGCACGAGCATGTCGCGAGTGAGGCGAAACCGGGTGCCAAGCAGGTCTGCAGCGGGTGGGTTGAGGAGGTGGGTGTAGCGGCAAAACTGGAGAAGGGAGGGAAGAGGAGGGGGGGGGAGATGGGTGGGGGCGTGCAGAAGTGCCGCTCTACGTGGCTGGGTGCAGAATCCAAAACGATACGTGAGAGATCAAACATGCGCGTAGGTGAACAAGGGCGAAACATCCCGAGCTTCACTCTGGCACTTCTTACCGAGGGCCGGTCGACTAGGCGGAAAGGAAGCTCCGCGTCTGCGAACAGCTCGACAAGAGCGTTGCACAGATGCTCCTGCGTGACGCGACGGCCAAAGAACTGAGGGATCTGCCACTTGCCCGCCTCGACACCCCCACCCGAACCGCCTGTGCCCGCACCAGGGATGTCGGGCTAGGCGTCAGCTTGCTCTCAGTCACCCCTAGGTATCCCTTCGCCAGAAACACCAACCCCGGCTTCTTGTTAGCATCGGTGAAGAGGGATACTAGATCTAGAGGTGAGGCATGTGGAACGTGCACATGTGCTTCCACGCCGAACCAGTGGTGCTCTCACCCCAACCGATCGGCGTCTCGCATACCTTGCAGCATCGTGCCCCGTCCCCCCCCTCAAGCTCAAAGAACATCCCCTGCATAAGCCCAGGGACAGTATCCCAGTACCCGACTGTAACCTGAGAGCTGTCGCCCGCTCGCAACCGCTTATGCTGTCCACCCGTGCCCCCTCCCCTCCACCTGGGGTGAGGGGAGCAACAAAAGCGCCGGCGTAGCACCGTCTGCATGACCCCCCTCCCCCTCGCCCTCAGCATCCCTAAAGCACGCTGCATCCCCACCACCCTCCACCTCCCCTGCACCACTAGTGCCACCGCTGCCACCCATCGTCCCTACCCTCCCCCGACCACGTCCACCACGGCCGCGGCCTCTTCCCCTCCCCTTCCCCCTTCCCCTGCCCCTCCCCCTCCCCCTCCCCCTCCCCCTCCCATTGGCGCTACCATCTCCCGACACCTCATCCTCTTCCTCCGCATTGGGCTGCCACTCCTGGTTACCCTCGCCTCCTCCCCCCCCTCCACCACCCCCCCACTGTTCCTCCCCCCATGGCTTGCCCCAAACCCTCCCCCCCTCCTGCATCGCCCTCCTCCACCTCTTCCAGGAAGTCATCCTCCTCATCCCCCTCATCCGCACGGACACCGCTCGCCAAAGCAAATCTCTGGCGGCCGCTAGGGAGAGGGAGGCCAGTCAGAGATGCTCTAGGCATGGCACCGCTCTGGAGCCCGCCACCCTCAACCCTACCACCCCCGAAAGGGACGGGACGCCCACCACGGTCATAGAAATGCATGACAAGACACCTCCCAACCCCAAACTATGCGCTAGAATGGGGAATCCAAGGGGGCATTTAGCCCTTTGAACCCTAGATCTCATAAACCCTAGAACCTTAGGGAAAATAACCCCTCCGTACCTTAAATCCGGCCTATTTACGGAAAGAAATGCATTAGGATGCGGGGAGTTGTGCGACTAATGCATTGGGAGGTGGCGCGAGTAGGATAGGGCCTAGACGAAACCAGGTCTGGGGAGTGGGAAAAGATATTTCGACCAAATGGTCGAAATTTCCAACCCTCCCCAATTTGGATCGCGCTGTTGCTGACGGGTAGCAGCGCGACCCGATTTCGGGTCAGGTATACCCGATCTGACTTAGGGTTTTTACCTGAACTCGGGTATTCAACACCCGACCCGGCGGGTACCTGTTACCCGTGTCGTCGGGTAGCATTTCGAGTAGCGGGTATTGAAGACCCGCCCGGGTAACCCGGACCCGATCCGCCAGGTAATTTTCAAGATTCTCGATACCCGAGCCGCCCTAAAAGCCGATCCGGGTAATGGGTACCCAACCCGGGCGGGTAGTATGCTCAATCCTACTCTCACCTTTGGCGCAGGTGAGTCTGTCGTGCAAACTGGATGGGGATGGGGCTAAGAGGTGAAGTGATGTGGGGTACGGTTGGGGGGAAAAAAGTGGTTGGGTTTGAGTATGAATTTCAAACTTCGAACCTCAATTTCGACGCGCCACACGTGAATGTTTGCGAATAAAGCCTCGCCAACTTGCGAAATTTCGCAAAACATTTTCAAACCTTTTTTCGCCGGGCTGCCTGTGCGTATTTTAACAAATCCCAACCCAATATGCAGCGTATTATATTTTCTTGCGTATACACGCTTTATGCAACCCTACACCTAGCTTTTTTTTCAAATTAGGGGCCAGGCACCTGGAGAGCCGTGAGCAAGGGTAGATGGGGAAAGGTGAGGAGGCGACGAAGGACCGGGTTTAGAGAGATTGCTTGACGACGCATCATGGACTGAAGCATGCAACGGGCGCTGTTGCCACAATGGGCATGCATTTGAAATAGCTATGGTACGCACAGGGGCAAGCACAAGACGACTCCACTACTACCCGAAGAAGAAGCATGCGTCAAGCACGTGAGAGTCGTGCGCCTCGGGGGTCTCCTCGTCGCCAGTCAAGATCTTGAACGCCTTGATATTGTTCACTCGACATTATCCGTCATAATGCCAAGCACGTGGCTGCGCAGCCCCCCATCCGCTATCACCTTCTCCAAGGTCTATGCAATCATGACCCTCGTGTGCGACCCCTTGATCTCCTTGAAGTATAGAGAGCCTGGCGTTGTGATCCAGTGCACCGTGACCGCCGGGAACATGTCATGTGTTGGGCTGGACCACATAGCTGTGGTGAGGGACACCTTCCCCGCTGCCCCGTCGGCGGCAATCTCCCCCAGCTGGCGCTCACGCGCAGCACCACCTTGCATCGCCTTGCATGAGCGTGTCGCACGCAAGGTGGAAACAGGAGCCCAGAACCTCTTCGGCGTGGGGATTGAGGAGGGAGGTGTAGCGGCGAAACTGAAAGGGGGGGAGGGCGCATGCGAATCAAGAACCGGTGGGTTAGATCGGGCGGGGCTACGAGATACGGGTGGGAACACGACCACGTTCAGAGGTTGGGACGCCACTGCGTGCAAGTTCGAACAGGAGATTCTTACCGTGGGTCGGTCCACCAGGTGGAAAGGCAGATCCGCGCCTGCAAAGAGCTCGACAGGAGCGAGGCGCAGTCGCTCCCGCGTGACGCGACGACCGAAGAACCGTAAAATCGGCCGTTGGCCCGCCTCGCCACCAGCACCCGCACTGCCTGTGCCCGCCCCAGGTAGGCATGAGCAAAATTGGGTAAAACCGGGTATTTACCCAACCCGACCCGGTTTTCAATACCCGACTTTGGATTGGGTACGAGTCGGCCAATATGCCCAAGACCCTTACCCAAACCCGGCCTTAGGGGGCGGAATACAGTACTCGCCTGACGGGTCCGGGTATACCCGACCCGGCAATGGTAAAAAACTGGTATTGCTACCCGCCCTTAAAAACAGGTCCAATCAAACTCCGATTGTCCCTCATTTGCCATGGTTGGGTCTGTCCAGGAGTGCGGCGGGTAGCAACAACAGCGATGGCATTCAAAAGCAAAAGAAAGAGGGTGTATGAGTGTGTTTTGCTAGCGTGTTTTACCATATTACCCGAACCCGTGTATTAATCACCCGACCCGACGGGTACCCAGTTTCCGCCCGGTCGGGTAACAAATCGGGTAGCAGGTATCGAATACATAGCCGGGTACCTGGAACCCACCCGCCGAGAAATTCACGAGAATCCGGGCACTCGAACCGCCCCAAAAGCGGATCCGGGTCCGGGTACCCGACCTGGGTGGGCATTTTGCTCAAGCCTAGCCCCAGGGATGCCGGGGTTGGCAAAACATCCATGGCTCTGGGCCGCCCGACACTAAGGTGCAAAAGAAACGACGTTTTTTTCTTCTTCAAAATTTGACGGTATAATACGGTTTCGAACATTTTGGCCGTCTAATACGATAAAAAATGGAAAAGGTGCCATTTTGAGGGTGGTGCAAAAAAAACGCTCGTGTTTTTTAAACCCGGGCGGAATAGATGGAAAAAAAATCGCGGATCTGACATTTTTACTACCGAAATTCACGGATCTCATGTTTTCGCTGGCGAAATGCATAGATCTTGCATTTCGCCTGCCTAAATGCCTGGATCTCGCAGATCACCCGCCAAAATTGGTAGATTTCGCGTTTAGGTGGGCGAAATGCACGGAATCGGCATTTCGCTTGTCGAAATGCCTGGCTGTCGCACTTTAGAACCCGAAATGCGCCGATTTGTTGTGTGCGTGGATCTGAAAAAAAAAAAAATCAACCAAAAAAATGCCCTTTTTTTTAATTACGATTGTATGCCTACAATTGATTTAGCACAAAAAAAAAAAACGAAAATTACGATTGTATTATTCGGCTCGTATAATATGATTACCTTATTTTTGCACCCTGTTCGACACCCCCGGGTACCCCCTCGCTAGAAACTCCAATCCTGGCTTTTTGTTGGGGTCGGTGAAAAGCCAGGACCAGATGAGGCATGCGGAACGTCCGTACGTGCTTTCACGCCGATCTAGTGCTGCTCTCACCCAAACCGATCGACTCCTCGCAAACCTTGCAGCAACGCGAACCGTCCTCCTCCTTTGGGTCGAAGAACATCCACTGCATCAGTCCAAGGACCATTCCCCAGTACCCAACTGTCACCTGGGAGCTGTCACCCGCTTGTGGCCGCTTATGCCGTCCTCGTGCCCCCCCCACCCTGGTTGCCACGCCGCCCCGGGTAAGCGCGATGCCCTCCGCATGATCCCCCCTCCCCCTCGCCCTCAGCATCCCCCGAGCGCGCTACATCCCCACCGCCCTCCACCTCCCCCGCACGACTCATGCCCCCGCTGCCACCCTCCGTCGCTGCCCTCCCCCGGCCACGTCCACCATGGCTGCGCTCTCTTCCCCTCCCCCTCCCCCTCCCCCTTCCCTTCCCCCTCCCCTTCCCCTTGTTGCGTCCATCTCCCGACATCTCCTCCTCCTCCGCATTGGGCTGCCTCTCCTGGTTACCATCTCCTCCTCCCCCGTTTCCACCCCCACGGCTTGCCCCACCCCCCCCCTTGCTTGCACCCTAAACCCTAAGTCCGCCTGCTAACTAAAAGGACTCAAATTAGTGCGCTGCATAGGTTTTTAAAGGATTAAATATGGGTGTACTGTGCATTTGCACTCCATAAGCTCATTGGGCTATATAAGGGGATGCTCTTCTACCCGGGGGCTTACGGGAGCAACCAGCATGTGTTCGACTCGTGCATCCGTATGAGCGCCGTGTGGAATCTGAAGATGCGGACTCAGATGACTCTCAATACATGGATTGCACTATGGGGAGCAGTGACAAGGAGGACGCGCAGACCGATGACATCGTTGCCCCACATCAAAGGGACGACCATCACCCCTACGCGTAAAAGGCACGCCGCAAGGGAAACATCTCAAAATTCTTGAAAGCAAAACTGCTTAGGTGACGAGGGATAACCCACTGGTGTCTTATGCCAAGTTGCCCCATTGTTCCCCCCAACAGTGCCAAGAAAAACCTGTGCGCAAGACGGTTCGGCCCAAACCATCAGTTTGGTTGATCAATAGCAATATGCAAAGCCCGGGCCTGGATTCAAGTCGGTTTTACAACCAATTGAATATGGAAGTGTAAAACTAGTTAGATGTAAATAAAGTAAATCATATAACTCTGGACGGGGCTTTTATGCATACGAGATTGATGGGTCAAGTCTCCCAAAAGTTGACCAATGATAGCACACCAGAGTTGTCACTGATTCATCAGTTGAAAACTCATGCCAGATCACCTGGCTTGGTAAGGATGGAACGAAAAGGTGAGGCAGGTTCTGCGGGGTGGTTTTACTATGAATGATTTCTCTGAGTATCGAAGTTAGAAGGCTTTGGATTCAAAATCGGTTCAATCTGCCCATGAGAATGTGGTATTGAATGGACAGCACTACTTAACGTACTCGACTCACGGCAAACGACCCCAAACCCAAGTTGTCTGTTGTATTGGATGCTAGCAGTGGACATAAACAGAACTCAACCCTCAATCCGATCACTCATTCCTTCTCATAAGCAACCTTTTACCTCTCTTCCTTGGCAAAGCATCATTCACATCAGCTATAGTGGCCACGTTAGGATGAAGCGCATCTTTTTGTCTTGGCGTGCTTGCTTATGACGCTTCAAGT